GTGGACCATTGATTGAACTCAACTTTATGTTATTTGCTAAACTATGAGTACTATACTGCAAAATTACTTAGTATGTGTATACCTTAATAGTATGAAAATCCTAAAACAAAAAGTCGCATCTAACAAAAGTCAGTTTTTTTATCAAATCCCGAAATGTACAACCTTAAGATTTCTTGTGTAAGTTTATTAACGTGAAGTCCACATTGAGATCTAAAAAAAAAACAGTTTCGCAAATAAGCGAATATGGCATGTCATATTAACAAATTGCTTAATATCTCAAATCTTCGTTTTTGCAGATACGACTTCCTGTCTCAGCAGGGCAGTGTAGACCAGACGATTTAAGAGCGAAATATTAATTTTCGGCCTAAAACTGTTTTTTACTCGCGATTTTCTAAAAATCTTCAAAATCCTCTTGGTCCTCCTGAATTTAATTAGCAGATTTCGTACCCCTTAAACACCAAACTGCTCTACCTTTTGCAAAACTGATCAAATCAAGCTGCAGCTTCAAGAGAGAACCTTGCAGTACTTTACAGCAACATCTGAAGGCTCTCAATACGTTAGTTTGGAATAAACGAGGTCAGAAAGTCAGTTCAAAATGCCAAAAATAATCAAATACTTTTGCAAAATACCAAAAAATATGCCTGTCGGTCGAATGAAGTTAAATTTTTAGAGCTTCAAGGCACCACAATCCGCTCATTTGAAGCTCATTTTCAACAGCCTCAATGGATTAGTCTAGATGAAAGATTTGCCCACATTCGATATTCCAAGACACTTTTTGGTGCCGATTTTAAAAAATTCTGCGAATTCCTTTTCTACTGGGGTTTTGAAAAATTGCAAAAAATACCCCAAAGGCGCCAATAAAGCCATTCTCCTGCAGCTACAACAACCCAGCTAGTTTTAGCTACATTTTCAACACTCTCAATGGGTTAGTTTAGAAGGAACAATGTTTAGTCGAAGAAGCGCAACTCTTGCACCTTGAAGGCCCGTCCATCGGCTACTTTGGGGCAAATTTTCAAAACTCTCCATGGCTCCGTGTGGCAGGAACGATTTTTTAAGGAAAAATCCTACGCAATTCTAACGCACTTTTGAAGCCAAAGGTTTAGAAGCTTAAAAAACATCATCAGTTCTTTTATTATGGTTTAAACTTCTTCAATTAAGTAGAAAAGTAGGTAGAAACAAGTTTTTCTTGGCCTTCCTTCAAACATCCAGCCCAATTTCCCACTAATCCCAAAATATGCGACGTTGGAAAGCTAAGCGACGAATCCCAATCTTGCAACATTGAGCTCGGATTCTATCCACCAAAATTATCTATCAGAAATACTTGAAATCGTTTACAACAAACATCAGTCAGTAAACACCAACCATGTCTTTCAGCAGGATCTTCGTCCGTCTGCTCCTGCTTTCCTTGGGTGTATTAATCCCTATCACGTCCGGTAAGTGCATTGAAATGGGCTCAGAGGGCGGAAAACACGAGAATTGCTGCAGGAAATCCCACCTGGTTTCGGATCTGCAGGCCCGATCAGGACTGCATCCGATTAACCGACTGCACCTCTTACATGAACTTCATCAGAAACATCGGTCCCCTAACCAAAGCTTCCATCGCTTTTCTCAAGCAGCAGGAATGCGGCTTTGATGGCTCTTTCCCGAAAGTTTGCTGCTTCCATACCCGATTAGCTGGTAAAAGAACAATGTTATTGCATCAGCAATGCTTAGAAGTTTAAACAGTTGCAGGCAGCAGCCAAAACAGCGAACAATCGATCACGGCAAGAGTGGAATTTACGACAAAGCGAGCAGGACGAGGTTCCAACTCAATGGGATCTGAAGACAAACCTGCATTTGGGGCTCCAGAAGGGGCCAGGGAACGTTTGAAGAAGAAGAAGATGGAGGCTCTTAATGAGGCATTTGCCCAAATGGATTTCTTCATGTTCAGGCAACATTAAAATAATGGACATATAGAAATGTTTTTTGGGCTTTGAAGCCGTGGTCCATGGGAATTTCTTCCTGACGTTTCGTCCACAACTGCGCTGGACATTATCAAAGGCC